TAGGCTGGACCTGCCAGCCAAGCTGAGTCAGATCCACAGCACATTCCACATCTCCCAGCTGCGGAAGTGCCTGGTGGACGACGCAGCAGTGGTACCCTTAGAGGATATTCAGGTCGATGACAGCCTGAATTACATTGAGCGACCTGTAGCAATCCTCGACCGGAAGTCGAAGGATCTGAGGAACAAGAAGGTCGAGCTGGTAAAGGTGCAATGGCAGCACCGGAAGGGCTCGGAATGGACTTGGGAGCCGGTGGATGAGATGATGGAGCATTACCCAGAGCTTTTCTAGGAACGAGCAGCAGACTTCGAGGATGAAGTCTAAAATAAGTGGGGGAGATTTGTAGCACCCGGTTCCTGGTACGTATTTTATTTAAGTAATTTGCATTTTTGGCCTGGGACTCGGCGAGTTGAAGGACCAACTCGTCGAGTAGAAACGGATTTAATTCGGGAATTAAATGACGGACTCGTCGAGTCGGCTGCAGACTCGACGAGTAGGCTCTGACTGGACAAAACCCCTAATCTAAGGGTTTGCACCCTATTTAAATGTCTCATTCCGCCCCCATTCGTCCCTATTGCTTCCAGAACCCCCCCCCCCCCCATAGCAAACCCTAGCCGTTTGTATAAGAGCTAAGGCTTTTGTGGTGCTTCTTGGTGATTTTGAATTCAAAAAGAGAAGGAAAAGCCTAGAGGAATCAAGAGGAGACCAAGGGAGTTCAAGTTTGTGCACCATTTGCAGTTCACAGAAGGTATAAAGTCGATACCTTGCTTGTTCTTTTGCTAGATCCCTTTTTAGGGAGATTTAGGGCTTTTATAAGCCATTCTTGGTAACCAACCATGATTGCAAGCATGGTTGGGGGTTGAGGGTTCGGATCTAGGTCCATGAAGGAGTTACAAGGCAGAAAAGGGTTGTTTTTGCACCCATGGAATCCCCCATGCAACCCGATAGTCTCTTTTAGAGCCTTTTTGACTCAAAGTCCCATGCATGCACGTAAAGTTCGTAACTTTACGTGCTAGATCGAGTTTAGGGACCTAGATCTATCATTTGGACAAGTGTTGTACATCAGAAATCGAGAAATGAGACTTGGACAACCTCGACTCGGCGAGTTGTTCTTTTGGACTCGGCGAGTCCAAGGTTTGACTCCCCTTTTCTGTTTGGGTTCAAAGGAACCCAGTTGAGTGTTAGAAGGGTGTTAGAGGGTCCAAAGGAGTGACCCAACGTATTGGACTTAGCCTTAGACCTGGAGTTCATGGGACTCGACGAGTGCTAGAACAGACTCGGCGAGTCCAAGGCAATCTCCTAATAGTTGAAGATGAACTCGACGAGTTGTTCATACAACTCGGCGAGTCAAGGACAGGACGTGTTTATCAGATGAAGGTGAACTCGACGAGTTGTTCATACAACTCGGCGAGTCGGATGAAGGTTCATTCGATGTTCATATAGAAGGGGAACTCGTCGAGTCGTTGCTAAACTCGACGAGTAGAGTCATGGATAAGGACGGGTAAAGGGTTAGGGACTCGACGAGTTGACGGCCCAACTCGGCGAGTCGGGTCAACTGGAAGTTGACTTTGTCTTGGACTTGGTTAGGGGTAAAATAGTCATTTTACCCTAAGAGTAGATATCAGATCCTGACTGAGTGTTTTGTGGGGATTATAGCCGGAGGATTTCCGGAGCAGCAGCAGACTGAGGTTTCCCGCACAGATTATCAGCAGCTACTCGTACGAGGTGAGTTACCTTCCAGTAGCGGTGGGTCTACGGCCACAATGTCGGCCCACCAGTAGGAGTTGTATGTTAGGTGATCGTCTTTGTGATATCATCTAGGTTTGCTACTACCTGATATGTTGTATGCTGGCATGACATGTTATATGTGATAGTAGTAGAGTTCGGTTGTTAGGACCGAAGGGTAGGTCAGGCACCCCAAATATGTCTGACAGTATGTGATGATATGTTTATATGCTGGCATGATATGTTATATGTGATAGTGGTAGTAGGAGGGGAATAGTCCCCAAGTTCGGTTGATAGGACCGAAGGGTAGCTCAGACACCCCAGATATGTCTGATAGTATGTTTATGTTATGATATATGTGATAGTAGCAGTAGGGGGGTGGAATAGTCCCCGAGGGTCGGTTGTTAAGACCGACGGGTAGGTCAGCACCCCAGAATGGCTTGACACGGGTAGGTCGGCACCCCAGAATGGCCGTACCGGGTAGGTCGGCACCCCAGAATGGCTTGACACGGGTAGGTCGGCACCCCAGAATGGTCGTACCGGGTAGGTCGGGCACCCCAGAATTGTCCGGCAGTACGTATGCTATATGATTGTATGGTATGTGGTACGATTGGGGGAACTCACTAAGCTTCGTGCTTACAGTTTACAGTTTTGGTTTCAGGTACCTCTTCAGCGAAGGGGAAGGAGCTGGCGCGGTAGCAACCACATCATACACACACGCATTGATTTTCCGCACTAGAGATATTCTGGGATTGTACTCTAACATGATGTTATTATATGATTTGGGTTTTCAGACATGATACATTGATTTACAAAATGATATATTATTACGTAGTTTTCTTACGAATGTTTTTATAATCAGTTAATTAAAATGAAATTTTTGGACTCGAAATTTGGGATGTTACATTTTACGGTTGTTTTATTATAAGTCCATGGTTCAATAATGAATGGGTGAAGAATCATTTTCGTTTGCATCCAATTTCAGGACGCGAGATTCTTGTTATTATGTTTATATAATATATTGTTTTATCCAACGTTCTGATTTTTAAGGTTTGCAAGCAAGAGAACCTTTTTAGCCTTTTTCTGGTGGTAAAATCAAACACATGTATTATACTATTATATAGCACAATGTATTGTTCATCACTCACCAATAACTACAGTAAAACGAATAGTGTTAATTTGTTTTAAGGATCCTATGGAATAAGAGTTGGCATAGATTCATATACCTTTAGGCCTCTAGATCATAATTTGTATGATCTTTTGGAGTTTTGTCAAGTGGTAGTAGTGAGTCGAGTGACTGGGACCTTGCCCCCTGCCCCCACCACTTATTTTGGACCACATTTGTGTTTGTCTATTCATGCAATAAAGATTTGTGTTTTAAAATTTTGTTGTTTTTTCGTGTTGTAACTATGTTGTGTTATTCTATAATTTTTTTTTGGACCTTTCCGTTATCGTTATTATGTTACGTTACGTAGGTGTTTTGATTAAATGATTGTTTGATAAAAAAAAAAAGTTAATCACCAAAATATCAAAACGGGAAATTTTTTGCGGGCAGAATATCTCTCAAATGCAAATAAAATTAAGTTCATCAAAATCGGATATGACGTTTGGCTCTCAAAAGGTACCACATTCGACCCTTTTTGGAAAACACTTGCTTCACTAGCTAAAACACTATGTTATTCATTTATATGTAAAAGATAGGGATGAGCAAAAAGCGCACCGCAACTAAAATTAACCGCAAAAACAGCATAAATCCCAACCGATAAACCGCAATCACAATAAAAACTGATGGTGAGGTTTTCTGTTTTTCAAAAACCGCAAAAAAAAACCGCACCGCACCGCATATATTATATACAATTTTTTTATTAATTATTAATATATTAAATATTAAAAATAAGACAGGTTTCATGGATAAAAGATGGATAAAATACTAGAAGACAAAAGTGTTGGTTTTTTGTTACGTCTAACTTTGAAAAATGGTGAAATTAGACAATTTTAATATATTTATTGTTAATTACTATTGATTTGACGTTTTTAAGATATTAGTTGTTTGTGATTTAAGTTAATTGTTTTATACTTTATGGTTTTTTTATTATTACAAGTAATATGTTTGAACTCTTAAAACCGTTTGAGCTCTAAACTGTGGTTAAAATCACACAAAATAACTGCACCAAATAGAATGCGGTTAATAACAGCAACATAAGAAAAACAAAACCGCACCGCAAAAATAACCGCACCAAGCGGTTTTGAAAATGGATTAACCGCATTTGCGGTTAGTGGTGAGGTTTTGGCTAATAACCGCACCGCACTCACTCCTAATAAAAGATGTGTAAAAGTACATTAACCAATTGTGATGTACCTAATTTTATTTAGGTTTCAAGTTATAAAATAACATCATTTTTTTTAAACAAAAATAGCAAATTTCGTAATTTTTTTATTTTGTAGAAACTTCTTTCTTCGGAAGTATTTTGGTTATTTAGTTATAAATTTTGAAAATATAATATTTATTTGGTATAATATTTCTATATCTTGACATTAGTAACTCTTGATGAAACATGTTTTATAATTTAGTATTAGAGAAATCTCCATTAAAATCGTAATATTCTTATGAAAAAAATATCAAATTAAATTTTATATATCGAAAAACACGGAATTTCGGCTTTAACTCCAAGAAAACTTTTTTAGGCCGGTTTCGTAGAGTTTAACCGGTATCCCGTCGTTACAATATTTGAACTTTTCTGAAGATAACTCTATTTTTAATCAATAACCAAAACATTATGACTTTTTTTAAAGATTGCCTTTGAACTGATGTATATTATTACTAACAAATCATTCATAACACATCTTTTTTTATGAACTAATGTATATTATTATTCATAACACATCTTTTTAATGATAACAGGAGAAAATCATTCATAACACATCTTTTTTTATCATCACAGAAGAAATATACTGTAGTTGTTAATTTCTAAAAATGTAAAGATAGACTAAAGACACGTATTAGCCATTTCAAATTCTCTACGTTTTCCTTGTGTATTATTGTATGTGCCATTATCATGAGTATTCCTCAAAATCCTAGTTTTTTGTAAGCTTTATCCGGTTTTTTTTATGTTTTTCTTTATTTTGTGTTTTTCTATAAATAAAACAATCAAGTTGAAATAAGTGAAATTTGTTTTGAATTGAGGATTTATTCTAGTTTCCGTAGTTGGTATTAGTTGATAATTATACAAAATCAGATTATAATGTTTGCTTAGGTTATAACCTGATTATGAATGAAGGTCAACTTAGAAATGTAAAATGCAAAGGCAAAGGTAAAGGCCGGCTGATAATGTTTTGTTGGTCTAATTACTTACACGTCATTTTTCACCAAAAAAAACTAGAGCCAGAATCACATGATGCCTGCCTAACAACATCCAACGTCCAACACTGGAACTTACTTTGTACTCCCTTTTTCACTCAAATCATCTTCATTAGAAGAACATGTAGTTGTAGCAGCAGTAGTAGTAGTGGTAGTCCCACCAGTGTGGACCGGATCCTTGAGGAGGTCAACCAAATCACCTTGGTCAATGCACCTCCTCATACCACCATGGGGAGAAACCAAACTCATTGCAGCAATAGCATTCACATTTACATCAGTGGTTGTGGTTGCTCCATAGAAACTTCCACCTCCAACACCAGAGGGGAACTGGGTAGATCCACTGAGGAGGAGGCGTAGTGTGTCCCTAGCACTCTTTTCTGAATCAGATTCTTGGACATTCAATGCTGGTGGAATGCTTACTACGCTCATAATAGCAGGGCCAGTACTGACTAGGTAGGCTTGACCCGAGGAGCAGATGTCCATTACTGGGATCGGGATGTGAACTATTGGGTGGTCGCACTCGTACATCAAAGGGGTGAAGAGCGGGATCTGTTGTGAAGGTGGCATGCCCATGGATATTGGTAGAAAAGGTGGGAGTGGGATTGAGATTTCAGAACATGTTTTTGCAGATGATGCAAGGAGTGACGAAAGGGGTGGCAATGTAAAAGATTCGGTTGATGTTGTATGCGGATGTTGGGGTGTTACCATAACCACGGGTGGACACCAGCAGTAATATGGAGGAGGAGGAGGAGAGAAGATAGATGATGGTGTAGTACTAGTATTAGTATTAGGAAAAGGATGTGTTGCTGAGATTATAGATGGAATTTGCATGTTCATGTTCCCACTTAATACTGATGGGAACAAGCAAATTCCAGAAGATGATGATGGAAGCCTGTTTTCTTCATGCTGATTTGAAGTGGAAGGAAGAGGATGTTTTTCGGAGGATGTTTCAAGGCGGACCCCTTCCACCCTACGTCTTAACTTGTCTCTGACTACATTTCTCAAGGAAGCTATGTTTCTGGGGAGGCCACCTTCTTTGAAGGAGCTTGGCCTAGGACTCAGGCTGCCTTGAATAATGCTACTGCAGGTCCGGACCCGTGAAGCCTTTGAACTTGATGATGCCAACAATGGAGGAGACTTTGAGTTTGAGGTTTCACCAACCAGAAAAGTCCGTAGATGATGTACAAAGCGTTGAAGACGGGAATTACTGATTCCGGTTAGTTCCGCAAGGGAAGGCTTCCTCTCCAGTAACTTCCTCATCTATAACAACAAGATATATATGTGTATACACATATCATCAGATTCAGACATCAGTTGGTTTCTTACTAAGATTTGCTGGGTTACCTTTTCGAGCAATTCATCACCGAGGAGTTTGGATTTTTCAGAGCACCACAAGTAGAAAGGCGTGGGGACCCTAACAACAAAAGATCGACCAGAGGTATCTGCTGGGATTCCTTCAATCACAACAGAGGAACAATCTGTTGTGTTTCTCAAGATTGATATTCTCTCTGCATGCCCATCATCCCCAACAAACGATATGCGTAGATCAGAAGTTGGTAATAATGACAGAACTAAGTTTCCCCTGTTGCAAACCACCCAACATAATAATAAGCATATATTCATTCTAACACACATACAACCATATACATACTAACAACTTTCACAACTTTAAACATCATTTTTTTTATATGTAAAAACCATTGTATTCTAATAATATTTCTTCTACAAAACAAATATAGACATGTTCTTATCTACTTTTCCTTTCACTTACTTTATAATTTCTTTAATTTACACTTTTCTTGTGGCCGAGGGGGGTAGCTGTAGCACATATGTTATTGATTCACAAACAACTTAATAATAAATGTTTTCTCCAACTTTACAACAATAGCTATCACTGTATTAACAACAGTGTATAAATTAAAACTAGGTATATCACCTAAACACCCAACTCAAATAACAATATGAATCTTAACAACTTGCTCTCACTCTCACTCTTGCCTTTTAAATTGAAGATCAGTTTAATTAGGTATGCCCTCAACCCCCTAACTTAAATACCAAATTAAACAGAATACACACATTGTTACTGAATAGCTAGCTGCGTGTGCTTGTCAATAGATATTAGGACTCAAGCCAAATCAGAGAAACAAGTCTCAGAATTTTGTTCATTACTTCCAACAGAATCATAACTATTCACCAAGAAAAAAACTAAGCCATCATTAAACTACTTGAGACAGGTAATGGCACATCAATATCACAAGAGAGAACAAGAGAAGTTAGAGAATAAGATAGTTCAACTTATAAAGCAAGAACCCTTCAAAACATGTGGCTATGTGTGATAATGGAGTATAGAATGTAAACAAAAACATATATGATACAAACATCAAAGATGTCCAAATAATTGGATGATAATAAGAGTTGCTGCAAAACCGATAGTAGAAGAACCCACAATATACAATATGAGAGCATGAATCTACCTTTACTTCTTCTTAATTCAGAGATCATAATAGAAAACGCCAGTTTACCTACAATGAAAAGATATATTCATTTTGACGCATGTACATGTCACCATTATAAAGCTAATATACAGGAGCCTACAATTTCTACTCACTGAGTGAGATTATGTTGATCCCCGCATAGGTCTAAAAGGAAGGGATCATCACATCACATGTGCATATTATTACTTCCTATATAGAGAATACAGCAACAGTCTGTATGACATCCAAACATGAACTGGAAGGCCATAATAGATTACCATTGCAACATAATAGTAACAGACATGTCCTATAAACAAACAAATGTAAATGTATTATCACATATATACCACCACCAAGTAGTACTCACAAGCTACCACCAAATCATTTACATCAACAAAATGACCCTAAGATCCACCAAAGTAACAATGTTTCCATGCATTCAACATGAATTTGATTATTATCCATCACATTAGCCGGATTTATCCTTCATATTAAAAAGAAAAGTTTACAAGCCTACAAATAAACCACTTGCAGCTAAAATCTTGATAGTCAGTATTATGTGAAGTTGAAAGCCAAACCAACACTCATATAAGATAAAATAACTGCTACATTCAGTCGTTCAAAAGAAAATATATGCAAAGACAAGATTCGGTAATCATATTAAATAAGCTATTAATGAACACTTATGCATCTATAGGCAACTTGTTGATGTGCCAGAAGTAAATCTTAAGATGAATGTGAATTTGGGAGATGTACCACTAAAACTAATGACAACAGAACACATTGCAGATGCTAACTGATAAAACAGGAAACAACTACCTTGCACTTGTTGGAATAAGACGAGTTCCTTGTTTGTTGATCTTCCCAACACGAATTGATACAAGAGGGATACATAAGCACCTTGCGAGCAAACCGACTTCTGATGGCTCAAAATGCTGTCATGAAAACCAAGTTGAAGAATAAACATCAGTACATCACGCGATTCAACTGCAACAATACATCATCACGAGCATTCACTTTAATTGTTCGACACTCAATGAGAGCTTAATAATATTGAGGTGATTCTAGAGGAAACCATAAAGTATACCTGACTTAGATGCGACAGCAATCGGTCTTCAGCCACGCTGGATACATTAAGCTTGAGCAAGGGCTTCAACCTCTCATCGGCGCGACACGCTCCCAATACTTGCATATCAAGAGCCTGTAGCCACTGTACAACCGTGCCTTCTTGAGTGTTTCGTTGCATCAGCATATCGCTATCTCGGTCGCCATCTCCAACAAACAAATCCGTCAAACGAGCTGCAAGTCCAATATTATTTCCATTCCTCCTCGTCAAGGAATCTCCCGAAGCTGCCGCCGGAGAAACCTCACCGGTACCACCGGATACCGGTGACAAATCATCGTTTGATTGTTGTTGATCATCTACCTCCCGATCACTAAAAGATTGTTGTTTTCCAGAATTATTCATATTGATTGATTATAACGCAGAACCTTTACAAATTAAATGTTTAGACTCTAATTGAAGATTAGAAACCCTTGATCGCAAGGGGCTAAACAATATCCTTCAAACGAAATCCAACGATCGATCGGAGTGTGAAAACAGAGACCGACTCGAGGGATCTGATCCGATCAATCTTCAAAATGTGAATTAGTAGAAACGCAACACAAAGAATCACAAAAACTAATGCAAGATGACTCCTATAAAAGGAAAAGAGGTTACGGACTTGAAGAACAGGTTATTCTGATTTCAGATGGTGGTTGGAATCCGGCTCCAACGGTGGGACATACGTTAGCAATTGGATAACATCAGCCTTCAATTTATATTTTATAAACTAGACTATTAAACTATAATATTCAAAAACTTCTAATAATATATTAGAATATTCTAATAAATCTAACAAGTAAAATATTAGAATATTTTAACATATCTATCAATTTTAGAAGAAACATTCTAAAATTTTGATTTGATTATTTACACTGTAATATTTCAATATAATATTTCACTCATATTTTTAAAGAAACAGTGTTTTTTTTTTAATTTTTTTAGATAAATTAAATAACAAAATTAATATTTAAAAAAAAGAATTTTTTGCTTTTCTCTTTATTTTAATATATATATATACTAGTAGGCTACCCGCGCGATGCGACGGCACGAGATAGTTTCTTACGGCGGATTGTTTTTATGTGGCGATTAGTTTTCTTTTCGTGTCAAATAGTTCGTTTCAGTCTTTTAGCAAAAAAAAATTATGTTGGATAGTTCCATTCGACGAATAATTTCTAGCTAAGCACGTAAATGCGGGAGCGAAATAGTTTCTTATCCGATGTTATCTATTGCTCTAGCTTTTATTTTACAATTAGATTAAATGTAAAAGTGTATGTAACAATCTTTAATGTTTGATCCATGAATAGGTTCTATCAGCAATTACTTTCATTTAATATCTAACGAATTGTTTCCTTTTCAAATTTAGGTTTGGTTCAAATTTTTTTTTTTAAGTCAAAAGTATTTTATTGTTTTTTTGGACGATCCTAAATGAAAATTAATAATAAAAATACATAATAAATTAATTATTTCAACTTCACTTTCTCATCTAGTTACAAATTAAATTAATTATTTCATATCTTTATTTTTTGGACTGATTATATATTAAAATTACATAATAAATCAATAATTTTAAAAACTTTCACATGAAACCAGAACCGGAACCCGAAACCAGAACCGGAACCCGATGGAACCAGTCGTTGGAACCGGCCTAAAACCGGGAACCGGACCGGATAACTCACTCATATTTTGAAAGTTGCATAACTCACTCAATTTAACTTTTTTTGACCTGAATCTTTTTCCTACATGTAGATTATGATTTGTAGTTAAGTTTAGACTATAAAAACGTTTGATTTGGTTAAAAATTGAATGAGTTACAAGCCCCGCAAGGAAGGTGTCAAATCAGAATTTTTTTTATGTTTTAGCAATTAAATGTAATCTGAATTTGTTATTCAAATGTGCATAACTCACTCAATTTAACTTCTTTTTACATGAATCTTTTTCCTACACGTAGATTAGGATTTGTAGTTAAGTTTAGACTATAAAAACGTTTGATTTGGTTAAAAATTGAATGAGTTACAAGCCCCGCAAAGAAGGGTGTCAAATCAGAATTTTTTTTATGTTACAACAACTAAACGTAATCTGACTTTGTTGTTCAAATGTGCATAACTCACTCGGTTTAAGTTTTTTTGACCTGAATATTTTTCCTACACATAGTTTAGGTTTTGTAGTTAAGTTTAGACTATAAAAACGCTTGATTTGGTTAAAAATTGAATGAGTTACAAGTCCCGCAAGGAAACGTGTCAAATCAGACCGGTTCCAAAATTGAAAACCCGGCAAAAACCGGAATCTGTAGAACCGCCGGGCCGGTTCGGTTCTTGATTTTGGCAGAAGCCGGTTCGGGTCCGGGTCGGGCCGGTTCCGGCCGGTTCGGTCCGTTTGCTCATGCCTAATGAAAAGTATCTTTTCAAACATAACATTTTAAAAATAAAAGTTGATAGTATTTTAAAGCAACGAAAAACAACTTTTATCAAAACAATTAAACTAAACCAAAAAGGAACTTAAAATAATTAAAAGACGTTACTCCTTAGAAAAAAATAAACTAAAACGATAACCTTTGTCATCACAAATGATATTGAACATTGCTTTTAAATACTCAACATTGCTATGAGAATCTAAATACTAATAATTAAAAAAAATAACAAACATAAATGATAAATCTCTTTTTATCTTTTGAATAAAAATTAATACACAAAATCAAGAAATGGGTTTACATTGAAGTTACAAATCAAAACCCTTCATTATAAAAAATTTAAATCTCTATTTTAGTATGAAAACCTTAAGAATCAAAACTCCTTAATTTCCAAAATCTACTAAACAAATACTTTTAGGTTCCTATAAACAAACAAAATCAAACAGCCATTTCCTTACATATAATCACAAAAACACACATACACAGTCTACTTGATGATACAAACAAATGAAATATATACATCTAAAAAGTAATTTAAAGATAATTAATCTTACAATAAAGCACTATGGAAGTAATACAAAATAAAATATCATTTACAAAAAACTTCTCATTTGACTTAATACCAAAAATCATCCAGCAACTCACCAACTATTTAACTATTTAATTATTTCAAACATAAGCAATTAAAGTCATCTAGTTGCAGCTAAGAACCAACCAAATTTGATCCTCATTACAACACCTTTCCTTGCTTCAGCACCAACAAAAAGCTGCAAAGGAACAAAAATAAAAAGTGAGATTTTGACATGTAAAATTAACTAAGCGTATATAGAAAATAATCAAACTGAAAATAGGGGTTTAAATTCTTATAATGTAATTGACTATGGGTAGATTAAATTCATATATACCATGAACATGCATTTTGCCTAAAGAGAGCACCGGTTTCTTTCACAGTTCTGTCACTACTTGGAAAATTACAAAACAATCAACAAAAAATTCATGGGTTGTGATTTAAAATTCCTACAAATGAAAAGATTAAAATAAAATAAAACAAACCTTCAAATAATCACATATCTGTCTCCTCTAGATCTGTCTTCACCTCACTTTGTACACAAAAACACAAAAAAAACGATAACTAAAATGAAAAACGAATAGTTAAGCTTTAGGTTTGGTATCCAAGTTCCTTTTCTTTCCTATGTCTGTGTTTCAGTCAAAAGAAAGCATCCCAATAAATCTATAAAAAAACCCAAACACTTGTAAACATACACACAGTGAGTATTATAAATACTTGAGTGACAGTGAACAACCTGAAACACAAGAAGAGGCATATATTGGAATCAAAAACTCTGGTAGAATGCACAGATTACAGTGAGGGAAAGCATTAAAAAATGTTACCGTCAGCACCAAGAGACGATGGTGCAACATTAGTACAAAACACTTCCCGACATGGATGAGGCGAAGTGTGAGTATTTCACTCATTTCGTTTGTACATAAAAAAAAACCCTGGTAGAAGCTTCAACACTTTCCGATTTCATAGAGAGGTTACTGGCGGAAAGAGATCTCAAAATCGGAGGTTGAGGTCATGAACTGGTCAATGAAAAGGTAAAGATTATGACTTAGGGTTTGTCTTGGGATAAAACGCTATCTAGCCGTTTGATTTGGATTCCACATGCTATAATATGTACCTTTGAAGCCCTAAATTTGCTGGCTAGCAGATCCGGTTAGTATTTTTGGATCTAACCCAGAAAGGAAAGGAGTGGCGTGTAAGCGTGGCAGGAGGCAGAAAAGGTAGTTGATTTGAATGGTTGAAGAAGGAAGGAAATGAAGCAGCGAGCGGATTTGGGCTGTTGATAGAGGTGAAGCTCGAGATGGTGGTTGTTCGGTGATGTTGAAACTCGTGTTGACGGAGCGAGAGTAGGAAGCGGATGTGATGTTCTTGTTTAGCTGAGGTAGTGACCGACAGGGCGCAGGTGGGAGTGGCGACATGTCACTCTGTTACAAAGTAAAAACCTGTGTATGAAAGACAAATGTTAGAATCAAAGATGTTCTCTAGGGTTTGTGGCTGAAAGAGTTGGAGCAGAGAGTTTGGAAGGAAACACTTGGGTGTGTTTAATGCAAACAAAGGTTGTATGCCTATGGATGAAATGGAAATGATGAGATATAACAGGCCAAAAAAAATGTTGATTTTAAAATTTGAATCCTAGAGAATTCACTTTATCATCGGATATATGGCGATATATGCGGATTTAACAACACTCGGTCAACATTTAAAGAAGCTGAGTCAAAAGGCTGCTAAAATTAAGGAAATATATGCATTGCTTGATTGTACATTCAGTTTAACAATTTAAAATATAATATTATTTAATTGATGATTGGTTGTACTATAAGCTTAAAGATTTGAACGTCTTAAAAAATATTATTATTTTATTGGATCTATTTATAGAAATAGTAGGATTTCTTTTATAAGTTAGTAAAGATATATATATATATATATATATATATATATATATATATATATATATTGATCTCCAAGATGAGTGATTAGGATCGTATCTCCATGTCTCACAAAATTAGCATGATCTGAAATAAACTTATATATATAATCATTCAAAACAAACGTTTCCAAACAATATAGATATGTAAATCCAACTTAAATATCTATAAGATATTCAACCCAAACATACACAGTCCAATCGATTCTCATAAATCTTGGTTCAACAATTATCTGGAAGAATCACCTAACCTGATGAATCGTTTGAGTAGTTGTTTGACTACACAGCTAGGGGAGTCCTTGGTGAGTGTAAGTATTTTAAGGTAACCAATGTTCAGAGTATTTGACAAATACGGTGTCCCATTTTATCTGTATTTGTGGTTTATAAATACACACTATCAACGTAATTCACGAGACCGTCTACAATAATCAAGTGTTGTCATCTCACTCTGGAAGATGCTCTAGACATACCCTCCAACTGTCTGATCTGGACATGCTAATACTGACTATCCAAAAAAAGAAGGACTACTGCACTCTGTTTTAAATCTCACACATTACCCAACTATGAGACTATTCGGATTTCCAACTTACTTCGATCTAAATTATCATTTATAAGTCTTAATTAAAATTAAACAAGACTATAAAAAAATTAAGTTTAAATAAAGTTTATTGATCACATTATACTATTATAACTTAGTAAATAAAACCAACACAA